TAGCTATATTATTGTGTCACAAAAGCTATATATATATATTTTTTTAAAAGAAATGGACTAAAGCAATTTTAGCTTTTGAACAAACAAAATACTTGAATTCAAAATTTATTTATTGGTGAAAAAATGCAATACATATTTACTATTATATACAGACATACATATAATTTTGAAACATGTTACAAAATAACATCAAATAAACATTTAAATATATTTTCTCACTGAGTTATGCACATCTAAAGTAACATATATACAGGCAGTTCCAAAAGTTTTGTACAGGCGAATCAAGATTGCTCATTATCATTGACTATTCATTCATTTAATAATAGCTTTCGCAATGTGACACATTTTTCTCAAAAGTTACAGAATTTTTATATGGTGCTCAAGAAAAAAAAGGGCCAATACTTTACACATGATTAATAATTTTTATTTTAAAACCTTGACATCCAGCTTCAAAAGTGCAACCTTTTATCTCACGTGAAGAAGCCAAGCTAAAAAGTTAAGTATTTTCTTTTAGTAATAAAAAAAAAAATTATTAACTATGATATTATATCATTTTATAGGTTGGATGTTTTTCTACATAATAGCCAATTAGGTCAATAAACTTTTAAAGAGCCTGTGTAAGTTTTTATAAGCTCATGTCATGCCAGCTCCCCAAAATGTCCTTGAAAAATAATTGAATCTCGTTTTCTTCTTTGTTACTCATTAAACCATCACCTTACAACAGTTTAAAATCTAACTTCTTTACACACTCATTTTATAATCCAGACTTCATAACCAGTGACTATACCACTTGTTCCCTAAGTTGAAAGGTAAAAAATATTTCACCAAAAGGTGATTTAGCCCTGACGATGAGGTTCAATGCAAAGACCTGGATATACAAAACGTAGGCAGCATCTACAAAAATGTATTGTGCAAAGCAATTATAAACTAATGATTAGTAAAACATGGTAAAATGTTCGACTTTTAAAATGATATATGACAGAAAAAAATTACTTTATTTATTTGAGTAATTAATTATGATTAGTTATGAGATCACCCGAGTAGGTGTACTTGTGTACCTTAAGACCAAATTATATATTAAAAAATGAATGTTTGTTTATAAGTTATTTATAATCACTATTTTTGAAATGTTTATTTATTTTTTATTTAGCTAAAAGATTGTGTTACGTGCTTGGATATAAAATAGCTCTAGCTTATAATAAAGACACTAAAAAGTGGTTGCTAAGGCCTGTGCTCAATTCCTTGTGCTAAAAGCTGTGTGTCAAACTAGACTATACTTTCTCCAATTAAATTTAAGTGATTCAAAATCCACTGTAATGTAAGATTTGCAGAGGTTTCAAAGCTTGAAAAGGTCAGATAGGCTGATTCCACCCGCTGCTACGACCAACTGCTCTCCAATTTAAATTGTGGTAATGTTGAGCGTGTATGTGCCAGTAGTGGCTTCAAATCATCATTATGGATGAGTCCTTGACTATTAGACTATTGCTCTTCAGCCTTGTTCTAATGTGACACATCAACAACTAAATCAAAGTAATTATTATGACATAAATATAATTTCACAAATTTATTTTAGTAATGTTTGTTAAAATTTTTTATGCAATTAAAGAACATCTAATTTGCATAATTTCTTAAATTGGAACTGTATAGTTCTAAAAACAACTGCTTCTACAATACTTTTGGGACAACCTTTATATAATTTTTATATATATTAAATAATTAATAAAAATAGCTCCATTTTTCTGACTAGGCTAAGTAATAACTATGAAAAATATATGGTAGACAATGCAAGTAAAGAAAAATTTTGATTTTTATACTACAATAACCACAATAAACAATTTTAGCATACAGCTTTGAAAAGCTACTAAGCTTGAAAAATAGTTGAGCTAACCAGGTGCCCTTCATTGTTACAGCAATTATAACATTTATTATTACAATTTCTCTAGTAATATATTTTATGCAACTATTTATGCTCACAATTTTTTTCATTTCATAAAAATAGAGAATTACTAAAAGATAAAAACATCACTAACAAAACAAAATAATATCTTATGTGTGTGGTCTCGTAAAAAACTATAAGTTTACCTCCCTGAATTATGTAATTGCAGAGAAAAAAAATTAAAATTTTTTTGTAGTTTTTATAATTTTAGTTTACAGCTATTATTTTGAATTTTCTTTATCAAGTTTCTTTAGTGCAAATAATAAAAAGTTGACTTATTATTTATACATTCATAAAACTAGATAACTCTTGTAAATATGAAACTTGAGTATAAGCAAAAAAGCCAAAACCTTATACCTATATTTTTTAAATTGTGGTATAAGATTTTTTTTAGTAAAAATACTTAGACTTATTGATAATTTTTAAAACATAAAATATTTATTTCATCCAATTGTGGCTATTCAAACTTTATATTATCACATAGGGAGGTTTAGTTGATAAGTTAGGTAACTCCAGTTATTGCTTACAAAAATTAAAAAATATTTTGGTAAATTTTTTTTAAATAATTGTTTTCTTTAAAACATATTAAGATAAATAATAGGAAAAAAATAGGAACACAATTTACTTGATCTTTTTTTTTTTATCTACTTAAACATTAAACAATACAATTAACAGCTTAGACTAACAAACAAAAATAACATTAAAAGATATAAACTTGGTTTTTAATACCCCTACTATCCACTATATAAAAATGAAAACATTAATATTGTGCAAACGCTTTGTTAGAGTACACCATAATTAAAATAAAATAATGCATTTGTTCAGATAATAATCACAATTTTCAATATTCTATAAAGAATATAGATAATATATAGAAGAGTCAAGATAATTTGAAATAAATCTGACCAAGTCTTCTTTGATTTATTGAAAACTCAAATTATCAAAACTAAATAAATAAGCAATTTTGAAACAAGGGAGTCATTGCACTTCTCAGCATTCCAATATTTGATTAGATCTAACATTATAAATTTTAAGCATTTTTATATTTAGTAGTTTTAATTAAGGTAGAAAGATTTCATAAACTGAAAATTTCTAAAATTCAGTAAAGTGCCTCACCTTAATACAATTATTTTATTCATGCTTATGATGGTTGATAATTTATTTTAACTGAAAACAAATCTTTATTCAAGAGAATTTTTCAAATTTACCATGAAAACACAAGTTTATACAGTATTAAGTCCCATATACAAGGGAAAACTGTCTTACCTCACTTTATAAAATCAAAATTAAAATTTTTTTTCTTCTCTTTTTCCAAAAAAGCAAAAGCATGGTGTTCTCAATGTAAACGTGAACAACAACAATCTCGAGCTCTTGACCTTCTCTACTTCCGGTTAGAGAGCATGCAGCTGCTTACAACAGTTAAATCTGTGAGACGATATTTTCAAACAGAAAATTTTTTTTTTACTAAAAGAAATAAATTACATAATTTCTGAGCTCAATGATGAGCTGATATTTTCAAACAGAAAAATTTGTTTTTAGTAAAAGAAATAAATTACATAATTTCTGAGCTCAAATCTGATGTATTTCATAAGATATTAATGATTTTAAGTAATTCGGGTGAGTTTGAAGCGAAAATTTGTTACAGACGTATAGTTAAAAAAGGTTAAATGGCTGCAAGAATTAAAAAGAACTAACTTTTTATGCGGTCCTGATTTAGCCTCTTTTTACTAATTTATATTACTGTTTTTGTCTTGTTGGTCCAAACACAATCATACGTTAGTGTTAGTATATTGTTTAAAAAGAGAGATTAAGTTTATTTTACAAATCATAATTTGTTTTATAACTATTCTTTTTTTCAAATGATGATTCTTACATCTTGAAAAGACAGGTCATCAAATGACACAAATAATTAATCAAGTAACAAATACACGCATACAAGAAATACTACTTAAGAGAGTCTCAAAACACAATAATCATGCGGGAAGTCAAATGGCTTCAAAATACACCAGAAAGAGTAACCCGGAAGTACAGGCAGTCAAGAGCTTTCAGCGCACCCTAGTGTAGAAAACACCAACCCTATTACCTCCTCTTACAGTATTAAGATAGATAAATATAGAATTATTGAAAAGACGAGAACAGTTAAAGAAAAACAAACTTTAGTGAAAAGAATAATAAAAACATTGAACATTAATAATGCTTGAAAGAAAGAGATGCAGACAGGCTTTGTTTTAAATTATAAATGATTTCATTTTTTAGATACACAGAAAATGTGTTATGTCATACTTTTAGTTGTGCCTTCTGTAAGCTTTTCGAAATTCAAATGGTCTTAAATGTTTATTTCGATGGAACAAAACATCAGACTGTTACACAACAGTTACAGTTAATATTGAAAAGTACAAAGTGAACAGCTAGGCTTATCACCTTCAAAAAACTCATTTTACTTGTTATGAAGGCATTGCAAGCGCAACACGAACATTTCAAAACCACAAAACTGGTGGGGTCGGAAGTCTATTCCACAAATGCTTCTTATTCAGAATTAATGTCATTTTTATCAGAATATCTCTACTACTTCTTCACATTAAATAAACATTTCAAGTTTTTTATTTCGAAGGAATTTCTCTTTCATGAAAACATTTATTCACGAAAGAGAAAGTTTATATTTTGCTATTCACGAAAGAGAAAGTTTATATTTTGCTAAGTTTTTTATCTTAATATTTTATTAGTGACATTTATTTTATCGTATTAAATATTCCTTTGTTAAATAAATGTTATTTAACTAATAATAAAATGATATTGCATAAATATTGACGCTAATCATTATATACTTATTGTTATTTTATTAAATAAGGAATGCTTTGGTTTTTGTTTACCTTAAAGATTTGCTTGTATTCCTATTTTTGAACATATTATGTTTCACTATGTCTCTCACCAAAATATTAAAATTATTCTCATAAGGAAAATTAAGCATGAATCAACATTTAAAAAGTTCTTTTCACGAAGCAGAACACTACATAATAAACAAAGTAAAAAGAAAAATGTCATTTCATAAAAATCAAGCAACTTATGTAAAATTAAAGACAATTTTTTTATGACCAAACATAAAAGATATAGAATCACATATCTAGCTTCAAATTTATTGCGAAAATAAACTTTACTCTCAGGAAAGAGTAATCACTGAATTGTGCAGCCACTCGTGTTTTTTGGATCTTTTGAAGTCTGATGCATGCCAACTTCTTTCACGGAAGGTATGTCACCTTCAGCTTTAAGAGCAGCCTTTGAACTTGAAGGATCACTCGGCATTTTTGGTGAATCGAATGCGGCATATGCCACAGGAGTCCAAATGACATTGACATTAGGAAGTTCAAATTCTTCAGGGCTGACCAACCCGTAAGTAGCTTTTATCTCCAAAGCAACGGGTTCAGCAGGAACCTTTTGGTGAAATATGAAACCATTCTCTCTTTCGCACTTCTCGAGAGTTCGCTTGATCAGGGGACCCAACTTACGAAAGAAGAGATGGGTATCCAGCTTAGCGCTTATACCGGGACCTTTGATGTTGATATACTCTTTGCAAAGTTTGCTCGCCGATTCGTAACACTTCTCGCTTTCCTGGAGGGCCCGAACTGCGTCGCCACACTTCTCCTGGGCCAAAAGATTTTCCCCTGAGTAACAATACGCATAAGCAAGATAAAACACACTTTTTAATTCAAAATATTTGCGCCATTTTTCTGCCTTTGATGATTTCACTTTACTCAAATGTGCGACGGCAGTCGAATACATCCGGGAAGTTTCATTAGCAAGAGCTGATATCAGACTTGGTGCATGGTTTAGCTCAATGGCTCGGGCTATGGTAATTTCTTGTGCTTCAGCTGTGCATTGACCTATATATGCGTTTACAACAGACGAATCTAAATCTGAGCCTGGCTCAGTCTTTTGCAATAAGCTGCCTATATACTTATCTTGCATGGCCGTGAAAAGACCAGCTGCTTTTCTAAGACACTTATGGACTTCTTTGGCTTCCTCCATGTCTATTTCATCCTTACCAGCCATCATTGCTGCATGCTTCATTAGCCAAATCGCCATGTCTTGACATATGCTTATCAACTCAAAAACAGCATCTTGCTGAGAAGCAGGAGTGTTACCCAACAAAGTTTGAGTCCAGCGAAATCGAGTAGTATATCGTAATCTGCTTTCGCCACCTTTTTCATCGGGAGCTATGATCATTCCACGTAAAAGAGATAAATATTTGTTAAATGCCTCATCGAGATTAGTTGTTGTATTGTTTGGATCTGTTAAAAGATCCAGCAATCTGTTTCGACTTTGTCGCAGTTCGCTACATAGTTGAACAGCTTGAGAGTCGGTGACAATCAATTTCAACTCAAAATTAACTTTATTCGTAGCTTTTAAAGGATTTCGATGAAACCAATACGCCATTGTTATTGTTTTGATACACTTGGCTAGGTGTGTTGTGTTGTCATGTCAAAATGACTGTTGCCAAAACTTTATGAAAAATATTTTATGCTATAGAGCAAGCCACGGTAGTTTCACCTTCAGCTACACAGAAATAGCTAGCCTGAAGCGTTTCTTAATTGCAAGTTAAATAAAAACAAGTGAAAAAAAACGAAACGAATATTTATAATCGATAGAGATGGAGCTATTTTTAAAATTGATTTTGAAGAATTAAGCTAGCGTAAAAATACTTTTGCATATTTTTCTTATAAAGCTTTTCTCATTATTGTTTATATATGTCGTCCTGAACTTATGTACCGAGTATTTTGTTGATACTTTGAGAGCTCACAATTTGAAGTTAAACTAGTGTTTGAAACATTGGTTATGCTGACATTTTGACAGTTACTTTAACACAGTTTAAAATTAAAAACATAGTTAAAGTGGATTAGTGTATAATTTAGAAATATCATGAACACTGTAATGGGGAAGATTTTTGTATGATGATCTTGGCAGAGTAATAGCCAAGTCTGGGCAGCTACCCCCGAGAAACTAAAAAAAATAAATTATAAAAGGAACTAATCTGAAGATGGGTATAGCTCCTTAACTCATGGCCACTCTCTGCTAACCTCTGCATGTTTTCTTTTTAAATTTACAAGTTTAAAATCCATTTGGCGCCTTGGTGATTGTGGTTGTATATCCCTCTGCAATGATTCATGCATAATTTATGTTTGTATTTGCAATGTCTTAAAATAATCATATAGATTATGATTTTTACTTTTAAGTTGCTCTAGTGAAACAGTAATAGAAAGCTTTGTTACCTTCAGAATTATTCCAATGAAGTCTTAAAGATTTTTATTTTCTGTTAAATCTTTGCATTGAGCATATTGGAAGATTTCCGTATTGGTACCTGGACCAATAAAGTTGCCCAATTTAAGTTTTAATCCTGTAATTGCACATGAGAAATAAAATAAAAGAAAAACACCACTGAAGATGACATGATGGGTATAATTGGTAACCATCTATAGGCACACAGTTACAAATTTAGTTTTTAAATTTTTGCTTGTCAAAATTGTTTATCATCTTCTCATATGTAGACAAGTTGATTAAAATTATTATTTTAATTGTTTTGTGCTTTAAACATGTTCACATCTTCATGTAATAGCTCTTATTGATTTTAGGAAAAACGTTTTTGATGTAGATGTTTTTTTCTAAATACATTTGGGAAATGTTGAATGAATTGTGCAAAAAGTTAGAAGCAAACGGAGGGCCTGAGACAAAAATGCCTTGTATGTTAGCATGTATGTTAAATTAAAATTTTATTTAATATAATTTTCATTGAGTGTTTATGTTTGCAAAACTTACCACCAGTTTTTTGCTTTTTCTAGATAACTAGCATATTAATGCATAACGAAACTAAGGAATTGATTTAATGTCTTATTATTTACAGGGTTAGCAGGTTTTTGACATGTGACAGTTTAAATCATGGTTTAAACCGTCACGTCAAAAACCTCACTGTCGAAAATATCAAAAACCTATATTCATATGTGAAATTTAATTAATACATAAAATTTATATATTTTTTATAAAGGATAGTGTTTCTAAATATGTTCTAGAAAAAATAAATTTAAAATTTTGAAGAAACACTTATATTTTGAATAGTAACCAAAATCTTGTACTTTTGAAAGCTCACATCTTTTGTAATATTATGTATTCATTTTCATGTGTTATTGAAAATCTGCAGTGATATTATTAAGAAATTTATTTATAACCAAATTTAGTGTATAGTATAGATTATACTAAAAATTAGACATTTTTAAAGATAAACATTAGCAGTTTTGTACATTAGACATCTTTTAAAGAAAAATCTTTTTAATATTCTTTTAAATCTTCTTAATAATCTTTTTAACATAAGACAATACAAATTTAAGTGCTTTCTGTTAAATACACAGAGTAGTTAGTGTCGATTTACAGTATATTCAGCCTATTCATTTACTATGCTGAAAATTTAGTTTATCCAAATACTTGTGAATTTCATTTTGCTGAATACGATATAGTTTTGTTGAATATCTAAATATTCAGCTGTTGAATAATTACTTCTTGCTTTCAAGATATGCATTATTTGTATTCTTAATACAAGTGGAGAAAAAAAAATTAAGAGATAAAAATTGTTTTAAAATGATAAGTGTAATAATTATAAATAAATATAATAAACAATATGAATTATATTTATCATTATTCATAAATATAACTACTTTTAAATTCAAATTAACATACTGGATAATAAAGATATTCGGTATAACATTAAAAAAAAATTTTTATACACTTGTATCTTATATCAAGTTTGTATTTATACAACATAACTTGTAAGTTCCTTATAAATATTAGTTATATGTTCCTTATATGTCAAAAATGCATAGTAATAAACTTTTAATTTTCTTAAGTATCAAAAAGAAAAAAAAAATTTTTTTAAATATAAATATTTAAACAATTTTTGTGCAAAATTTTTCTGCACATGCATTTGAATATAAATTTCTGAGATTTTAAATCTGTTATTTTACCTTAATTTTAATTAAAAAATATTTTAAAACCTGCTGATTACCTATAGTATAATTAAATTTCAATATAATGCATGGCAACTGTTGGTAGTTTTGAAGTTTATATATTTTCTTGGCAAACTTCAGTTTTTGACATTTTTGACGGGTTTTTGACGGTTTAAACCAGTATTATACCCTTGTCATGTCAAAAACCACTTTTTGACGTCAAAAACCCAACCCTGATTATTTAATGTCTTTAATGCATTGAATGAGATAAATGTTTTGGGGGATATTCATTGTGTTAGTTATTTTATTAAAAAAAGAAAAAAAAGATGGAATATTCATGAACAATTTGTAACAACTTTAACCTCTTGTTTTATTATGATTAAGTTAGAATAAAACTAAATGGTGCATTTTTAAATTCATTAAATATTAAATTTGTTAAATACCATTATTCTAAAGAGCAAAATTGGAATTTACTGGATATATTTGACATAGATTCAAATTAATGCCTAACTGTACTGCTTATGCAGTATTGTACATTATAAAGACTTTAAACTTGTAAGCGGTCTGAAATCTTTAATTAAAAATTATACTAATCAGATGACTATATATATTCTAAAATTTTTGTTCTAAAAGAAATTCAGTTCACTTTTTATCAAAATATTAAATGTAAATTGAAACAATAATATAAAATGATATATAAATATAGCAATTAATTTAGCTTTTATTCTATTTGTAAAGTTTAACTTCAAAGTTTTTTTGTTATGGAAGTGTAAATATTCTAGCAAAAAAAAAAAAAATTCCACTGCTTTTTTAAATTAAATGTCTTCAGAACAAAAATGGATTTTAATGAATGGGCAGAACATTGTATTTTAAAGTCTTAACCTAACTGTTCATTGTTGTAATTTTTTATTGATTTTATGTTGTAGAAAGAAAACAAGTGCATGGTTTAAAAGTACATGATGCCTAAAGTTCTAAATGTGGAGCAGCTGGAAAATAAGTTTTCCTGTTTAACTAGAGCAAGAGAAAGTATTACTGGTCTTTCAACATGGATTATGCGACATAGTGAATTCTGCGATGGCATTGTTGAGGAATGGTTGGCATGTTTATCTAAAAGTAAGTGTAAAAGTTTTAGTTTATTTTTAAATAAAAAGGGTGTTAGTTCTCTGTAAGTCTGCTTGACTTTAGAAATTAAAGGTCCTTTGGATCTAGGACTTGTAGATTTCTGAGTTTGCAATCCCTAAAAGTGGATCCCTATTTAAAATGTGATTTCTCTATTAGTATTTTTTTTTATATCCAGCTTTTAATGTGTTCATAGCTTATTAGTTTGCCTATTGATAGACAAAACAGAGAATTTCAAATCAAGAAAAGTTATATTATTATTATCGAAGCTCTAAATTAGTGAACAATTTTTTCAGTCCCAAGAGTATCTACTTTATTGAGATTTCACTGTAATAATTTTTTCCCTTAATTTTTGTAATTTTTTTCAGATTTTAATGCTATGACCATGTTCTATTTGGCAAATGATGTTATTATGCAATGTGGAAAAAAAAGAGTTCCCCAGTACAGAGTTGCTTTTGCCAAAGCACTAGAAAACGCTGTGGGCCTGCCAAAGTGAGTATTAGGACATATTTTATTATATTGCTAAAATCCTTTTTATTGTTTTATATATGGTTAGTTTTCTTGTTATTTTTTTTAACAAAAGGATTGTTTTGTATGTCTTGTTGAAAAGTATTGTAAAAAATTATCTAGTCTTTAATATATTATCTAGGCTAATCTATATTTGTCTTGTTTATAGCGTGTTAATTTATATTGTGATTTCAAAATCTATTAATGTTAATCAATACTGAAATAACAAAATTTTTATTTTTCATGATTGCATTTTTTTTTTGTTGATAATTGGAGGAAAAAAAACATTGAAGAAATACCTAATACCTGCAGTTTTAAATTTTTTTTCTGCACATAATGCATTTAAGGGTCTTTGAAAAAATATAATGATAAGCTACTTCAGGAAATTTTCAGGAGAGAGTTTTTTGAAAAAGTCATGGTGATACAATAATTTACATGTAAGCATTAAGCTGATTCTGTATTTTTGTGGTGTTCGTTAATGGAAATTTCAGAAATTCGTAGAGTAACTGTCTGGTTTCAGTGAACAAGACAATAATTAAGAACAGTTTACTGATAAATATTTTCCTTGGAAAAAAAAATAGCTTATTCCTATTTTTCTCAAAGCCTGACAATTTTACAATTCTATTTTTTAAAAATTGTTTTTATTTGCTTTAACAGTGTTAAAGAAATAAGTTATGAAGTGTGTCGCATAATCAACATCTGGAGAAATAGAGATTTATTTGAGGAAGGTTTTTGCCAAAGGTTGATAGATAAATGTAAGTAATGATTATTATTTAACTAATCATAGTAACCATTTTTCATTTGCAAATTTTTGTTTTTTTAAAATTAATTTGATTATGTTCTGTATAATTCATTCATTTTTAAGTTAACATATTATGTAATGCTAAAACATTCAGATGTGCCAGAAGATTTTAGAATTTTAGAAGAGTCAGTCATAAAGGTTTGGCCTGGGTGCTTGAGGCTGAAGTGGTCCTTTAACATGAAATCCGGGAACATTAGGTAAAACCTTGAGGTGACATAAAGGAAGTGAGATTGGTAAAAAAATGAGTACATTTGTTCAGTAAAGTCCTAAGGGCAAAATGAAAAACCATAAAAACATGGGATAGTGACAGGAAAAAGAGTTGTGAGTAGTGAACAAGCTTGAAATCTGCTGTAATTTGCTTGAAGAAAACATCTCGCTTTTTAGATTATTACTTTTCACAATGAAGTAGTTAGCATGATTAGACACTGCTACTAACTTAACCAATCGACTGACAGCAGAACTTAGCTTCACAGCAGACCTCCCACTTACGATTGGTGCTACGTACAAACAGATTGAAATGCAAATGGTTGCAAACAGTTTGACTGTTAACCGGACATTATTAGTGGGATGGTGGCTAGAGTCTCCGGCTTGGCGATCACGCGAGGCACGTTTGTCTCCGAAGGCATCTAAGTAGGGAATGAGATGAAAATGGTTAGTAAAAGAAGTTTTCAAAAAGAATAAATACCATTCCGCTTTCATTTTTTTGTAATTATTCAGTTTATTTTTCAGTTCTTATTGAATTCATGAATAAAAAATAAAATAAAACTCATGATTAGTTTTATTTTTTTCTTTCTAGTGCAAGGCAAAGAAAAAGAAACGGAAGTACCGGCAGTGACTGAAGAGTCTGAATTGGATATAATTGCAAATTATAAGGTCATTATTTTTTTTAATTGAAATATATATTTTCAATATTTTATATTTTAATGTAGTTTATGTTTTTTCACGATTCTCTTTAGCAAAACAGTAACATAAGGAATAGCAAACTAATAATATAAGTAATTCTTTAATAGTTGTATTTTTTTACTAGATCTTCATTTATCGACCATCTGTTAAAGATATTTTATTAATATTTTTATTGAAAGAATAGTGTTTTTTATTTCATTTTTGAATACCCCTATTTCATACATTCATATACTTGCTAATTTTATAACATCAATTGTAAAATAAAACTCATACTGTTAGATAACTTTTATGTTGCTTTTAGTAATGTATTCCTAATTAGAAAGAACTAAATATATTTAAATTAATGCTGTTTGAAAATGAATAGTAAAATGCTTTAAAGCTTAATTGAAAAATTTTTTTAAGAGTAATTATACAGTTTGATATGATTATGATTAAATGGAAATTACTTGTGATTAGGACTGGGCTATAAATCGATGTATCGAGACATATCGATTTAACGCATATATCGGCAAGACGATACAGCGACTTTCATTCAAGGCGATGCATCAGAAATCTGATTTAAGCCATCGTGTAAAGACAACGAGCGCAAAGCGATATAGCGATATAAGACACGCAAGGATATAAGATAATGATATAGCGATACAAGACTCTTCTCTTACGTTCGGATGTCGACTCGCGCTGTGGAAGACGATGTTCGTTTTGTTATGTTGAAATGGCCTTGATTGGTGAGCTGTAGAATCAGAGTTTTGAGAACACATATCTTTATATCGCATGTTCCTTTTCCCACCTCTTATTATTTTTCTTTTCCTTTGTCGCGACTTTTCTTGTAGATTATTTTCAGTGGGACTAACTTCGTGATCGCTGATGTTACATTGTTCTGAAGGCAATCTATTATTGAAAAGAATATATAAAGAAGAGTTTCTTCATTAATTAGATAAGTTTTTTTTTAAAAAAAACTTCTTTTTATTTTTAAATGTGAAAATTATCGGCAATGTAATTTAGGCGTCCATAAAGAATTTAATTTGTTAAGTTATTTTTTTACTTTCTTTTAATTTATTAAAAACTTTTTGGATGAAGTTTTTATTACTGATTTTAAATTTATAAATCTTGTTGTTTTTATTTTTAGAAATAAAGTTAAAACAAAATATTTTTTGTCATTTGGATTTGGAAATAAGTCAATCAACTTTGCTTATACAAAAAAATTTGAAAGGTTTGCGTATTTTATTCAATTTTTAAAATCATTTAGCACTTTGTTTTATTAGAGAGTATAATAATTTTTTAAAAAAAATATTTTTTACATATTATTTGTTAATTAGCTAAATATATTATCGAGTATCAAATTTTTTTTATTTTTAAGAAATTAAATCTTACTTTGTTTTTCGGTCATTATTTAATTTAATTTAATTATTTTTCAGAAATGATAAGGTCCCGCAGTGGACTGATCATTAAGACACGGTTCCCTGTAGATCACCGAAGTCAAGCATCACTGACTGTGATCAGTGCGCGGGTGAGTGACCATTTGGATCAGTCTGCGTAGGGACCGAGGGTGTGTGGTATTGGTCCTCGTTAAACTGTTCTACCGTAAAGTGCTCGACTTCGCATGCAGGTCATCTAGCTAGCGAAGCGGGGGTGCCATCCCATCTGCAGAGGATCAAAATTGTGATGGCATATCTTCGGATCATAGTCAGGGATGTTTCCCAGGCCGTCGCCAATAACCCATTGTGCAGCTCTAGTGTGACGTAAATGAACTATAATAACTGAGATGATAATAACAAAAAATAGTGTTTTAAAAGCGTTTTTTTTTTCTAAAATTTATTTAGCACTTTGTTTTAAACATACAAATAATTTTTAACGTTTCATTTAGAAATTGAACATTACGATCGAACTTAATAATTATGTAATTATTTATGCATAATAGTACAAGAAAATATTAATTTGTAAAAAACGCTTTAAAAAAAGTTTTTAACACTTTGTTTTACGCGTATTATGAATTTCTAAACAAACATTTCAATAAATATTTTAAGTAAGATTTGTACATTGTAGTCAATTTATTTAATATCTTTCTTAAGCAAAACATATATATCTTCAAATTTATAAATTGATTTAAATCAATCTGAGTATGAAGTTTTGATGGAAATCTGACTTTCTGTGCCTTACAAGTAAATGAAATTCAAAAATACTATATCGTGATACATCGCTATATCGAGATGCAAAGCTGACGATGCATCACGATACATAATTTCTAATATCGCCCAGTCCTACTTGTGATACATTATTAAATGTTGACGCTCAAAAATTATTAACTATTCAAATATTTATATACTGACCTATCTCAAGTGCTTCTTTTTGTATGTAAATTTTCCATCAATTTTACTTAGCCAACAGAATTAGCGTTGTTGTGAGTTGGTTATTTCATTGAATTTTCATACCTTGATTTGCTTTAGTTTTTTTATTTTTTGCAGAAAGAAAATTTGATTGATAAAGTAATAAAGTTAAAGCACATTAATGATGAAATGAATGAAAAAGAAGAAATATTAAAATGCGCTGATGAGCCCTCTAAGTCTGATTTTGTACATCTTGGTATGCATATTTTTTGTTTTTATTTATTTATTTTTGAGAATGTTTTAAATTTGTGTTGGAAAATCTAGTGAACCCTGGGTAAAAGAGCCTGATTCGACAGTAATTTCATTTTCAGAAAATTTAGCATACATTTTTCTTAATTTCTCGAAAATCTGAATAGACCACTAATTTCTTTCTTTTCAAAATAGGACCCTTTTTTCTCAAAAATATGAATATATTTTTCCTATTTCACAAAAACAGGATCTTGCACAAAAAGTTTGGAATAATCTTTAATGAGAATATAGATAATGAGAATTTGGAATATTCCTAAATGTTGAAAAGTTATGAAGAAATCAAAAACTACCGTAAAATTATCAATGAATTCTGTTTCTAGTTATTATGTTTTAATCCTCATGAGACTGATTTCTATTTTTTTTTATAGGGAGAGTTTTTCTTTTGGTAGTACATTGCTTTTTTTTTTACCATTGATAATATAACAGGGTGGCCACCCACCTGGAAAACTTTGAAAACCTGGAATTATCAGGGAATTTTTTTCTATACTGGAAAAAACCTGGAAAAATCAGGGAATTTTAAAGAAAATCTGGAAATATTTTTAATTTGACTAATTTAAATTATTTACTAATTTTCTTAATTTAAATTATTTCATCCATTATACCCACTTTTTTTAGACAGAAATGTATCTCCAAGCAGTTCAAATATCATCAACTTAGCAATACTTTGCTTGCATCAAAATTTGCCCCATTACAGCTCTGTTAAACTAGAATGCCACCTAAAATTCTCCCACTGTTGCTAAACGAATGTGGAAACCTTTGACCGCTTTTCACTTGTCAATTTAGGAAAGATTGTGGTGGAGGCGGAAGAAGGGATTAGGATATTAGCTTCTGTTTTTAAATTCTGTCCTTGGGCAGAATCCATTTATGGCTTAAGCTTGTTCCAATGATTTCGTGGTAATTTTTTTCCATTTTGACAAAATGTTTTTGTATTTTTAACTTCATAAAATTCTCCAAAAATTTGTTGGTTATAATTTAATAATAATAATAGATTTTATATTGCACTCTTTTTCTGAAAGCTTTTGTATTCCCATTAAAAGAAATCTGTGAATTATTTTTTCTCAGCAAACCAATCAATCACACATTTTTTTTACAATCGCTAACAGCAATGTTTATCGACAAATTGTTACAATTGTTGCATTAATGCTGATTTTTTCTATTTCATTATAACCTTTTATAACATATTTAATTTTAAAAAAAGATTTTTTTTTAAGAACTAACTGTATACTAATATTTAATTTTACTCTTTTGTTGGTCAATATATGATTTTTGATTCAAAATTTTGTACCAAAACATTAAAAAATGAATAAAAAATCTTGCCAAATTGTCAAAATAAATTATTTTTTTCAAGATATGTTAAAAAAATAGCATTTTGAATAAAATATTTTATAATATAGACACTTTTCTTGCCTACACTTTATTAGAATAAAGAAACTAAAACCTGGAAATTTTAAGATTTTTATCTGGAAAACCTGGAAAAATCAGGGAAATTTGAAATCTGATTTGAGTGGCCACCCTGTGTAAGTTTTTTTTTAAAAAAATCTGGACTCAATTCTCGCAGTTAGGCCCTTGGACATTGATGTCCTATTAGTCTTTATGAGTGAGAAATATGTTGTCCCACTAGTATTAAATGGCAACAAATAATAAAAAATCTACACGGAAATTTTTTTATAATTATTTACTTATTACATTAGTACTTTATAGCCTGTATTTATTACCTGTATATAAGACTACTGGGACATATACACCCGAAGTGGTAAAGAATATGCTTGTATTTATTGTTTTTATATAATAAACTTTCTATGTCTTGCAAATTATAATTCTAAACAATGTAAAAAGTTGTAAATAATGCTCATATTATGACACTCACTTTTTCTTAGTCCTATTTCAACTATTTTTCTCACCAAAAAATGTTCAAATCCACTCAAACTTATGGTTTTTCAAAGCTGTGCCCCATGACAGTTTTATAAGTGTGGCTGACCATCCAAATAAAAGTAAGGAAGTTTAAAAGACTAATGTGCAAATCTAATGTTAAAATAAGATCTATTTAACCCAACAGTCTGATGCAACATATATGTCCTCTAGAGATAGGTTTGAAAGGGTTAACATGATGCATAGTGTTTTTAAAAAGTTCTTAAAGGTACTTATTTTTGATTTTTGTTTTTTAAAAGCCCTTAAAGATGCTTTTTTAATTGGGTGTTTTTAAAAAGTGCTTAATTTTCCCTTTTTGAAAATGAGATTTTTTTCTTTACCATGTCGATTTTCACCACGTATTATGCAAAAGCGTGCTTTTCACATTTGTCAATTAAACATTTTCACAATTTATTCAAACACAATCCATTTCCGCGTACCGTCGGTCCATAGCTTACGAAAGCGCCTATCATTTTACGTGTTGGATAAAATACTTGTGAGTCCGCATGTGTGTCAACTGAGCTCAGTCTAGTGAGATTGTTGCATTCTCATGTGCAACTCTGCTACAATTTGCCAGATATTCTCAATTTCAGGCTTCATTTTCCACTCTCTGACATCGAACCGAAAAATCTCTTGATCATTTTAAAATGGGTAATATAATCAAGAAAAGAGTTCTTTGTCAGAAACTAGTTATTTTATCAAGTTCATGTAAAACTTTTGAAAATTATTTTGCATTTTGTTAATGTATATAGTGCTTAAATATATTTTTTGAGTTCTTAAAAGGTGCTTACTTTTTGTTGAAAGATTTGACTACACACTCTGGTTAAACAAACTTTGCCCCCTCCCCAAAGTAACAATATTATTCAATGTTTATCCTACCTATTTCACACTTGATCAAAACTGTGTTGTTTATATCATAGGTTCACAAGAAGGCCAAAATATGCTTCAAAAAATTACGAGATACTGTAACACTGTCAAAGGATTCATAAAACTAGTAAATGATGAGATTGAGATGAGAGAGAAGTTGTTGAAGGAATTGAACAGAACTAATATATTTTATACATCCCAATATGAAGATGTAAAGAAAGTTGCCCATGTAAGTAGTTCTCTAATAAATTCTGCAGGTAATCTACAAAATGTTTAAAAAAAGTTATCTGTTGCTGCATGCATGTTTTGTCTTAAAACTTTTATTTTTTGTGGACGTTATGTAACAAAAAATTTTGGCACTGCAAAGAAAAGAGAAATTTTCCCAAAATAAGAAATTGAAAAAAAAGTATTACATTATCAAATCAAAATAATGTGAAAACAAATTTTGCTTAGATTGTTGAACAAAACCTCTTTACAGATTTATATACACAGTCCAGTCACATTAATGTGACCACAACCTACTTTCGACGTCAACGTGAAATAACCAATCACAAAAGGCAGGTGGCAGCTCAACACAGTGGAGTGTATATATAGTATGTCCTAGGGCATCGGAAAGCATTTCAATCGTTGGCTTAATGCAGAAACGTAGCGATTTATCCGACGTCCAAAAGAGCATGATTATTAGCTTTCGGGCCAAGGGTGAAAGCATTTCGGAAACGGCTGATTTTGTGAACTGTTCGCATGCCGCCGTGGTAAAAGTATACCGTTCATGGCAAAATGGCACTATGCAAAACAAGCGGCGTGGCACATATGGTGCACCACGGGCCCTAGATGACAGAGGCGAACAAAGGCTACGGAGATGCGTTCAGGCGAATAGACGTGCAACTGTTGAGCTACTGACCGCCTAGATGAACCAAGGCGCTACCAAGAGTGTATTCTCAACAACGGTTCAGCGAACGTTACTGCGTATGGGCCTCCGTAGCAGAAGCCTGGTTAATGCACCTATGCTGACTGCTGTTCATCGTTGACAAAGGCAGGAATTTGCACGCCAGTACCGCAACTGGACGTCCATAGAGTGGCACAGGTGACTTTTCCGATGAATCACGTTTTATGATCCATCGGACAGATGGACATTGGCTTATACGCGGCGCGAAACGTATGAAAGCAAACACCCTGCAACAGTTGCCAGAAGGCTGGAGGAGGGAGCATTATGGTTTGGGGAATGTTTTCCTGGCAATCAGTGGGTGCACTCATCATTGTGGAAGGCACGATGGATCAGCACAAGTACGCATCCGTCCTTGCGGACCATGTCCACCCCTACGTGCGAATGATTTTTCCTCAGAATGATGGCATCTACCAGCAGGACAATGCGAGGTGTCATACAGCTCGCAGTGTGTGTGCGTGGTTCGAAGAGCACCAGGATGAATTTACCCTATTCCCCTGGCCAGTAAACTCACCTTATTTAAATCCAATCGAGAATCTGTGAGACCTCCTCGATCGGGTTGTTCGCGCCATGGATCATAAACCGCGTAATCTAGCGCAGCTGGCCACAGCACTGGAGTCGGCATGGCTCAACATCCCAGTGAACACCTTCAAAAAGCTAATTGACTCTCTTCCTGCACGTCTCGCAGCGGTCCGCTCTGCCAAAGGTGGCTATTCTGACTCTTGACAGGTAGTCACATTAATGTGACTTTACTGTGTATATATATATATAAATTTTTTAAATCTAAATTTTCTAAACAAAATGTATGTGGGATATTTTACTTGTTTGAAAATGTTTGACTCTTTAGTTTCATGTTCTGCTTCTCTAACAAGAATACATCAATTTTTAAAATTCATATGTAAATATATATATATTTTTAATGACCTTACATTGTTAAATTTAAATCAAGACAGATAAAATAAAGACATATATTGAACTTTTAGTTTACCTTTATATGAAGTCTAATATTGCAATTTTAAATATTTTTTTAAAGAATTCAAAAGCTCTTTTGTAAAATCCTTAAATCAGATACTTTTTGATGTTCAGAGACTGTGTAACAAGAATGATTTTAATAGAAGCTTGTGGCATTTCTAGGTCTTACAAATGAGACATTTTCTAAACATAAACACTATATCATATAGTATATGATAGTGCCTATCATAGGCATGTCTATTTTATATCTTTTGGGCTATTATATATCTTATCACCCAAATGCTTTTATAGTTTTCAATATTTTTTTAATTTTGTAAGTTGCAAGTTCTCATATTACTTTTTGCTATTAAAAACATTAAATCAGTATTATTTGTCTATTTAAGTTTGTTGTAACATCTGAGTTTTTTCTAGGCTTACAAAATCTATGGGAAAAAAATAAAAAAGGTTGCTAAGCAACTTTCGGACAAAAGAGAAACTCTTTCACCTGCCATTGCGACTACTTATTTCTCAGACAATGATATAAGCTCTCCTAAGTCACCTGGTAAGAACCCTTCAATTTACATCCATTTTTTTTCATTTTGTGTGTCTTTGTTACAGACAATTGATACTGCAAGTACTCAAATTGGGTACTTGCTCTTCAAGTAGAAGATCACTAATACCCCCACATGTGACCTATACACCAGCTGATCGCTTAAAAGCAAAATGACGTTTCAAAGTTGAGCTTAGTTTCTCCACGTAAGTTAGAATGTTAATTAACGTGAAGTTAATTAAATACAGTGCCATATTGCATATTGAATTTGTTAAAATATAATTCTTTCTTGTCTGCTTCTTTGACTTAATTAAAAATTATTATGTGTTTATGTATTTTATTGAAACTGATATTTTTTTGTGTACCTGGCAACTTCGATGCATATTTAGTTTGTTTATGTTCTACATGGCTTTGTGTGTGTTGTTGGGTTAAGTTAAAAATATTCAGAGAAAAAATTGAAATGTTTGTGGAAGAATATAGATTATGTCACTTAAGAGAATTGATCCTTGAGAGGCATGGACTTGAAATAGAATGAAAAGAACATTTGCTAATGTAAACAAATGCCACATTTCAAAACCAATCAGGGATAACTAAATGGGAAAATATTATGAGCAGAAGCAAAACTATCATAAAACTTATCAATTCTATTTTGTAATTGTTAAATTATTACGGTGTGACAAGAAGAAGAAATAACTTACATTTTCTCAACTAATAAAAGCAAAAAGCTAATTTAATTGAATACATTTTTGTAATACTTTAATCTTACTATGTATGATTAAAATATTATGATTAAACTTAATATGTATGGTAAAGTGCTCTGATTTCGATTTTTTCTCATTTAAATTATTGTTTGATATTAAATAAATGATTTGAGTACTGATTTAACAAAAAAGTAAAATTAAAGTAAGTTTTATTTATTAAAGTTTTTTTATTTAATCTTAATAATACTATAATTTATTTAATCTTAATAATGGAAAATTTAAATTAAAATAAGTTTTTTATTCATTATAAATTTTAAAGTATAATTATATTAAGTTCAGAGTATAAGTGACAGTGAAGTTGGTTATAGAAGTAGTCTTCAATTAGGTGGCAGTGTGTAGTATGTGCGGTATCATGAAACTAACTTATCTTTCTCAGCCAGTTCTGCCAAATTTATCTTTATCAAAATTTTAATTTGTCACAAATTTGCCAGAATACTGCTATTTATATTAGTTAGGCCAGTTTTACATGCAGTTGGTTTGCTGGGTAGGAGTACTTGAGGTTCACTAGTTGCAACCTCAATGATCCCTATCAGTAGGTGGTGAGTTCTGAATCGCTTGAATAGCGTCGATGACCAAATGAACTAGAATTTAAGTTTTTACTGAATTTGTATTCCATTTCTACTCCATTTGCTTTCCATTCCAGGGGAGAAATAAATCCCTTTTAAATTGTAAGTATTATATTAATTATGATTTGCATTTGATTTCTAATGTCGTGGTTGATTAGTCACTTTTGCTGGGTATAAATACTTGAGGTTCACTAGGTGCAACCTCAATGATCCCTATCAATAGATGGTGAGTTCTGAATCACTTGAATAGCATTGATGACCAAATGAACAAGGATTTGCGTTTTTACTAAATTTGTGTCCCATTTCTACTCCATTTTCTTTCCATTCCAGGGAGAAATAAATACCTTATAATTTGTAATTATTATAATAATTATGTTTTGTATTTGATTTCTAATGTCGGAGTTGATTGGTCACTTTTGCCAGGTGTTATATTTTGCTGCGAAAAAAAGTCGAAAAACAAGGCACCCATTTAATTATAGTACTTTTTATTATTTTTTTAGATGATGCTTTCTCGCCTTCAGAAGATTTTTCTTATATGTCTGCAAGTCCTTCTTCAACACTTTCTGATTCAGTAAAAGAACCAAGTCATCAGTATCCAATTAGTGACAGCCATGATGTGTCAAAAACTTCTCCATTCAAAAAAAGTTCCAGGAATATTAATCAGAAATCAAAAATATTCCAAATTTTTACCGAAGGGCAAGAACCTAAATCAGAGGTTGTATCTGAAACATATAATACGACACCAGAAAAATCTGAAAGCATCAAAGTCAGTCCTGGCAACTGTCACCAACAATCTGATTCTAAAAAAGTGGCCCAGGAGGAAATTGAAAACTATGCTTCTGAAATTTTATCTGCAGGGGCAGATAGTTCAACACCAACTGCAAGTACTGGTAAAAATAATTTGGAAGATGTTGATCAATGGCTTGAAAATTCTTTCAAAAGGGGAAATATGAAGCGAAAAATTGAATTATTGTTGAAAACTAAGAATAAAAAATCATGTCCAGATCCAAATCAACAGGATGTTTCAAAAGATGCTGGGGAAGATCTTGGAATTAAGCCAGATGCAATCAAGTCAGCAAAAAAAGAAATAAATACTGATATAAATGATCAAACTTTAAAAAAGAAGATACAAGGTAAACCTTTAAGATTATGTCACAGTGTGGAAAATAACCAACCAGTGGAAGAGTCAAGAGCCTCTGATCCTGCAACAGAAATTAGTTTATTTGATCAGGGAATTAATGCCTTGGCAAATAGTGGTAATGCTGAGAAACTTGTCGTTGCAAAATCAAGTAGATCAGAAAGTTTGCTTGATCAGAGAATTAATGCCTTGACAAGGAGTAGTGATACTGTGCAACAGAGAGAGGCAGAATCTAATAGAGGAATGAGTTTACTTGATCAGAGAATTCATGCAATGACAACAAAGAATAGTAATACTCTGCAACTGGGTGGCACAGAATCCAATAGAGGAATTAATTTACTAGATCAGAAAATTGATGATGTGGCAAATAGTAGTTATGTTGTGCCACATACAGGTTCCGAATCTAATAGAGGGATAAGTTTGCTTGATCAGAGAATTGATGCAATGACAAGAAGTAGTGATACTATGCAACATAGAGATTCAGACTCAGATAGAGGGATGAGTTTACTTGATCAGAGAATCAATGCAATGACAAGGAGTAGTGATACAATGCAACAGGGAGATTCAGACTATGATAGAGGGAAGAGTTTACTTGATCAAAGAATCAATGCAATGACACGGAATAGTGATACTATGCAACATAAAGATTCAGACTCAGATAAAGGGATGAGTTTACTTGATCAAAGAATCAATGCAATGACAAAGAGTAGTGATACTATGCAACATGAAGATTCAGACTCTGATAGAGGAATGAGTTTACTTGACCAGAGAATCAATGCAATGACAAGAAGTAGCAATACTGTGCAACAGGGAGATTCGGCATCTAATAGAGGTGTAAGTTTACTTGATCAGAGAATCAATGCAATGACAAGGAGTAGTGATACTATGCAACAGGGAGATTCAGAATCAAATAGAGGGATCAGTTTACTTGACCAGAGAATCAATGCAATGACAAAAAGTAGTGATACTATGCAACATGAAGATTCAGACTCTGATAGAGGGATGAGTTTACTTGACCAGAGAATCAATGCCTTGATGGCAAGGAATAGTGATCTTGAACAAAAGAAAAATATTGAATCTAATGAAGAAGAGAGTTTACTTGATCAGAGAATGAATGCATTGACCACAAAGAATAATGATAGTGAGCAATCGAGTAATATTACATCTGTGGACTCTAGTAAAACCTCAAGTTCATTAGATCAAAGAATTGATTGCTTAGTTAAAAATATTAACATCAACCTTCTAGGTACAAAAAATATTGCTAGTCTTGTAAATCAAAATAAAAAGGAAGTTGCTGAGTTAAAAGACATTAATTCAATGGAAGTAGATGATGATATGGATAAAAAGCAAGTAGTTAAAAATCTTTCTGTGAACAAAAGCTTGGATAGCTCTCTAAATGATGTCTCAGCCGAACTGTTGAAAAATGGCCAAACTAATGATGAATCAGCAGAAAAGGTACAGTTATCTGTAGAGAGTGACACAGAGGATACCTTTTTCTCGTCTTTGTGCAACTCCACTAGTTCTGATAACAAAAATTTAATACCTGGTTTAGAAATGCATGAAGAATTTGAAATAAAAAAAGAATCTGTAAATCAAAATGAAGATGAAAAAATGCAATCATTGGAAAATCCAAAGAATGCTGACAAAGAGATTTTGGAAGTAAACAATTTAAAGATTGAGGAAGAAGTAACTGTTAAAATAGAAATGCCTGAAAGCATGCTTTCAACAGAAAATATTTGCAATAATCTACAAGATGCCGTTTTATCTAGCCAAAATAAATCCTTTGAAGATCTTAAGCAAAAAAGTGATTCTACATCAGCTGCTGGTAGTAGTGTAGAAACAATTGCTGTAGTACAAGATGTGTGTGATAGCTCTGTAAATATAAATTGTAAAGATCAAAAAATTGCCACTTCCACTGTTTCAGGACTACAAAATAGAACTGATAAGAAGCCTAAAAATATGCTTGAAACTGTATGTTGCATTTTGGAGTGTCTCTCAAAAAATAAAACCAATTCTAATCTTGGAAAACCTTGTGAGAGTTACAAAAATGAATTAAAATCTGACTTGTCTTTTGAAAATTGTTTGAAAATATATAGGGTTTTACAGAATAAAAATTTAACTTCTAGTTTAAATAGTAATAATGACAATAGAAGTTATAAGGATTCTTCTAATATCAATAGTTATTCCACTGTTTTGGGAACTCAGAATGGTGCTAGTGACTTTTGTATGACTACAAATGCTTTGCACGGACCCATTCTATCGACTTTTGACTCTAGTAATGTTTCAAATAGTGACAGCTCTATTAATATCAAAGATATTTCTCTAGATTCAAGTAATGTAAAAGATAATTTTGAAGTTGCTGATATGGATTGTGATTCAGAGTAGATGTAAATACTTTCTTGACAGTTCACATCAAATTAACCAAGAATTTTTTTCAATGTTAATAATTTAGATTCTAATGATTTTTAGCAGGTTTATTAAATATTTGGCAAAATTAGGTAATTCTGACACTGGTGAGTGATCCGTTGCTGAAATTTTTACAGTGATCACTTTTTAAAAAAAATGAAAGTTTTAAACAATTTATTGAGTGTTGATATTTGTGTGTTTCTCAAATTATGATGATCATTACAAGGTTAGTTTCTAAAATAAAGAATTTTAAGCAACATACATGAAATCAAATAATATTATAAAATATTTAGTAATTCCATATTAAAAAAAAATAATTATAATAAAATGCATATAGGGTGAAATTTTGATGAAAAAAGTGGCAACTGGCAAACAATTTTTTTGAGTGCCATTTGTTATATTTAGTCGCCCTGGGGGCCCAAGGCGACCATTAATTTTGCCCTATTGTTAAGGCTGCTTCAGAATTTTTAAACCATTTCTTTCCAAGTTATAAATTTTTTTAAACTATTAATTTGAAAACTATTTAAGCTATATCGAGCTGATTTTTTTGTCATTTTTTTCAACAGTAATTTATAAAATAAATTTTTTTTTTAAAAAAACTCATGTTTTTATTTTTTTTAAGAAATTAAAATTTTTAATTAAAGGATTTTTAAAAATAAAATTTTTAAAAAAAAAATTATTTTTATATGAAATGTTTAGGCTGTTACCATGCTTTATATATCATAAAATGATATAAAAAATTTGAATAAAGTGACCCAAAGTTTCGTTATCTTAGTTAAATAGTTCTTAAGTTACAGTTGTTTAAATAATAAAATGCAAACATTTTTTAAATGTTCAATTATATATTTCAGAAATAAATCTTTCAACTATAAGAATAAAGCTAGATATTTTTTTAATCCAATTTAATTGTTCTACTCATGAGAAATTAAACAAAATGCAAAGACCTGAAATTTTAACCATCGATCGATTTTTTTCTGGAATTATCAGTTACTTACAAATTGTCTGTTTATTTCAATCATGGTTCTATTCAAACCACTGTAGGTAAGTTCTGAAACTAACTTACAACAGGATTAAAGTTCAAATTTTATTGGTCATCACGAAGTGTATAATTTTATGACGTATTTTGATTTTTTGCTGCATCATCAAATGCATACAAATCGACTAATTTTTTTCAGTATGCTCCTATTTATGCCATTGAACATATGGATAAGCTAACTAGCAGGATTAAAGTTCATAATTTTAGCACATTAATGAGTTAGATAGCTTATTTTCAACTAGTTCTATAAAGCAATACTTTTCGATCAGACACTATATTAAATTGTTGCAATTTTGTATATACTATTATATATAAATATACTATTAGAAGTAAAATCTTGTAACAAGAAAATCTTGAATTTGCTAATATAGCTTGTGATTCAGTATAAACAATTATTGTAAATATGTATTTTTAGAGCTTCTTATGTTTGTATATATAAATTTGCTGTTTTTATTTCCATTCATCAACTTATTTATTGTAATAAGAAATATTACTGTAATATATTGGTATGATTAAAATTCATCAGAACTTAGTTTTAAGTTTATTAATTTCTAAAATAGTTTACTTTTCCAGATAATATTATTGCACAATTTAAGAGCTTTGTAGGATATGTTAAGAAGTGTTTTAAAAATGCATTAAAAACATGTTATGGTTGTAGGTACAGAATAGGGCTTGGCAATATTTAATTTTCAATATTAAAATAAATTGTCAGAAAATATATATATTTCATGCTATATCTTAATATCTTTTCCTTGTTTTACAATGGTTAATATTTTTGTTACTAAAATGAAATTCAATACTCATTGTATTCGATGAGTATTGAATTTCATGACGTTCTAATTATCTATGATCCAAACATTATTTTATTTGATATTTATAACTGTCCATAATTATAAAATATTTGGTATTTGTCGTACGAGATGATAAACATGATACATTAGGAGGATACTTTTAAAAATATCCTTTCCACAGTATTTAAAAAACATTGATGTTACGCAATATACTGCTTAGATCTCGAACAGAACATTTATTTGTCCTGCGAATCCATAAAATAAAGCATTTCCTAATCAAAAACATGGTTTATAAGAATATTATCGGTAAAAATTAGTAGTTTACTAACATAGTGAAAGTAAAACAAAGCAATTTTAGAGAATCATTGTTATTTAATTAAACCATCTTATAAATCTTAGTATTTTTAGATATTCAAATAAGAGGGTGTCTAATGATTCTTTTCTGGGCCCTGAAGATAATAATCATACCCTAATGATTAAAAAGAAAAAAAATATTTTGTTTATTAAAAAGGAAAATATTTATCTTCACATAATGACAATAATTATTTGCAATTATTTTTAGAATTTCAAGTATTCAATGTATTGAATCGTAAAGCATTGAATATTGGCAATTTGTTTAGATACAAAATTAATGTAGACCCCTAATTAAAACTAAACTTGTTAATATACTGTAAGTATTTGTAAATATTTATTCGTCTTATTTGTATCCTAAAAAAAAAATCATTTTTCATATTGAAATCAACATATTCTAAATAACTTAAATTTTCATAAAAACTAATGTTTTGATGGTAAAAATTCTTTAAACAAATCATGGCCTCTTAAAATTTCCCATGAAAAATATTTTAGAATACAGAGCTTAACATGAGATAGTTCACTAATATGTAACATCCCTATTGTAATCAGAGGAGATGATTGGCACATCCAAAATCAAATTTGAAAAAAAAAAAAAAAAAGAATTGATGAAAGCTTTGTGAAGATGGCAGAAGCCTTTGATAGAAATGGAAACCTTCAATTGGCTTTAGTGAGAGCATGTAGTGCTTAAAAAAGTTTTCCTTTATCGAGTTTTCGAATTCATCATTCAATTGTACTTGTTGACCAATGCAAGTTGATACTGATATACATTATTTTTTTCTGTCAAAAAACTGTCTTTTTTATAACCGAAATCGAAGGTTATAAAAATTTGAGCTTACATATTTTCTTCTGTTCCATATAAGGGCATCTTCTTTTTTTCTTTCTAGATTATCATTAATGAGCTTCTTATTTTGGATTCAGCTTATATTGTGTTTTTAAGAAAACAGACACAACTTGAATAGCATGTTTTTAAAATAATGGACACAGCAAAAAATGTGTTCTACTTAAATTTAACAACTAAAGGAGGAATTTCGTACTTGTTTAAACATTAAGCATAATTATTAGGAGGCTAAGTCCTGGACTTCAGGGTATATTATAGATATTACTCTTCATATTTAGGCAACTAAAAAATAAAGTGGTTCGTGAAAATCTAAATTTGTACAATATCAATTTAATACCTCAATTATTAATTTATAGCATCCGTATCAACTTTATAGAAACAAATGCTAACTTGTAATATCTTAGCAATAAGACTCGTTTTAAAAAAATGTGCCAAGTGATTTAGGCAAATGGACATCAAATTACGAATTTATTTGGATCTATGAATATTTTTTTCAAAAAAGAACAATTTTAATGAGAAGTTTGAAAAAAATAGAATCAAATGCTATGTTTATTTTCTAAAACATGCATTTTGAGCTGTGTCCATTTTCTTAAGTAATTGTTATGAATAAAAAAACTCTTTAACATTATGCAGACTTGTTAAATTTTTTAACGTAATACAGTGAGGCTTTTGATTTTTGCAAATTTGGCTGATTTTTAATGATTCATACTAGTCTCATGCACGTTATAATAATAACGAGCATCATAACCTTAATTTTAACAAGTATATTAGAAACAACATTACCCACATGCTATTTTTAAGATTTGTTGGTAGTAGAATAAGTATTATCCATGGGAGAAGGAAACTGTTGGGAATATTTCCGTATTGTGATCTGCCACGCCAACTCCAATCGCCAAATTGATTTTAAATGGGAAAATTTTTAAAAAAATGTTGAGTTATACCTTTTGAGTTGGTCCCTCTCTGTGGTGTTATTATTTTTTTAAAAATTTCTCGAAGCCTGCTGCCCGGAAGTTGTCAAGACTTGGATACTTCCGGCGATTATTCTGACACAGATTACCATACGGAAATCTCCCCCTAACTCTTTCTCATCTAATATAAATGATAAGTAAAATAAGAATAATTGTAATTAAGTGTTAGATGGGCCGGGATAGCCTGGTCAGTAGGGCGCTGGGCCCATGTCCAAGAGTTCGATCCCTGCCAGCTGAAGCCTCCCCGTGTAGTAATGGTGACTGGTGCACGTTAAATCTGTTGAGTCGCAAAGTCCTCCATGTTCCCATTACAAATCAATACCTCATGGGGTACTGATTTAGGAGTTTCTTTGTGTTCAGGATTGGCTCAAAATTACAAGGCTCATTGTTCATTAGTAGGAGTTGTTCATTAGTAGCCATAAAACCAAAAATTGGGTTTACGACTGTTCAATGACGAATATATAAATAAATAAAAAATTAAGCGTTAGTTAATTAAGTATAAACAACCCAAGGTAGCCCAAGAAATAGAGCGTTTGCCTCCAATGAGGTGAACCGGGGATCGAATCTGAGTGATACAAATTCCGCACTGATCACAGTGCTAAAGAAAAATATCCTCAATGGGTATTGTTGTCAGGCTAGTAGTGAGAGGTTTTCCTCTCCCTGTAATGCAAATGCGGGTTAGTTAATCAAAAAGTCTTTCACTTAGGCAAATTTGTCCCAATATTTGATTTGGGAGTTCCTTTGTTTACTCGATTGGGTTCAAAATTACAAGGTTACGGAGTCGAACATCAGTAGGGGCAAACCCAAAATTGGGACGGCTGTTCAGCGACAGATATAAAATAAAATTAAGTGTAAACATGTAGAAAAAAAAATTAAGTAGACAACAGTAATCAACAAATAGGTTTTATTATTTGCTCAAACATATTTTTTTTTCACTAGGAAATAATCTTAGAATCATCCCAATCCTCCTGTGCCCAAGCAGGCAATTCTGTGCTGAATCCCCATCCATCTCCAGAATATTTCAAAGCATGAAGAAACAATATTAAATCTTTCGGCTCAGGATCCATATACTTCTGGTGGCATAGATCGCAGGTTTCCTCTTTAGTGAACTTTTCAAGTTTCATTTTGTACTCATCTCTCAACTGTTCGTAACCCTCTGCTTTCAGATAATGATCTAAAGCGGATAAGGCAATTTTATTTTCAGTACCATCAACAAGATTTTCACTTCCATTCGCGCCATTTTCAGACTTTACTTCTAAAGGCAGATTATCATCTAACAACCACTTTTGCAAGTTGTGAGTTTTTAATAAATCTTCTAGTAATTTTTCCTTTGTTTTTCCAATACACCCTCCCTTGCCTTTATCAGGCCCAAACACACTTTCATGATTATAAATTGGATCATTAATAATTGGATGTCCTAAGTATTGTAAATGAACACGAATCTGGTGCATACGTCCGGTCAGAGGTTTACATCGAACTACACTGGTTTTTCCATTGTAACTCATTCGTTCAAAAACGGTTTCAGATTCTTTGCCATTTGAACTAGCAATACATATCCCCATCTTAGGAGAAATTACCTCAATGGGCTCTTTGCAAGTTATTTCACCATCAGGAAATTTCCCCTCAACTCGACATACATATTCCTTGTTTACTTTTCTTTCTCTTATTTGCTCATTGATTTCTTGAGACCGCCTGATAGTTTTTGCAAAGACTAATATACCCGAGGTTAAGCGATCAAGACGATGGACAGAATACAATTCACCCAAGTTATGCTCTTTTGCCAAAATGAATAATAAGCAGTTGTGACGATATCGACCACATGGGTGAACAGGTACTGATGGAGGTTTATCGATTACTACAAATTCATTACTCGAATGGATTATTCTAATTGGAGCTGCAGCAACAGGTGTTTCATGTCTATGGGCTCTGTTTGTGACTTTATCGTTTTCTTTAAATACATAGTCAGCACTTATACTTTTATCGTTAATTTTTATATTGCCGGATCTGATATTTTTTTCATATTCCTCTTTAGAATGAGCACGGAATTCGTCACTAAAAACATCTATGAGACGTTTTCCAACCCAACGTCCTTTGCAATGCGTTGTGTAAGTGAAATAATAAGGATAGACCTTTCTTAGATAATTATCGAAATAATAATCGGTTTCTTCAGTCGACGGTTTATTAATTCCGCGACGTATATCCTTAGTACATATCTTTTTACTTTTCTGCTCAAATTGATCTGTTTTCCTTTTCTTCGATTTTTCAATATCTTCATCGTTCGTTTTTGGAGTAGTCGAAATTTCTGAATTCATAGTTTACTTTAAAATTCAATGTTTCAAGTCAATAACTGCTAATAAGATTCAACGTTGTTTGTTTACTATTCGTTGTCGATGACAATTCGTCATTGCTCCCAGTGAACGAGTTTATTCAGTTTTAAACCGAAATGTTTAGTTGAAAGAATTATGGCAAAACACCTATGTTGGGAATATGCAAATTCCACTGAATCTATATAAACAATTTATTTGGCTGAAAAAGTTTAGACTTTGTGAAAAGAATGGAAATCAAAAGAGAGTAAGCTTCAATTTTTTTTATCTCACTTTTTACTTAAAACTTAATTTTTTTTATCTCACTTTAAGTGATGAGTTAGCTCAAAATTGAGGGTTGGGTCTTGATGTTTATTCATTTCAAATTTTTTATCATTTGATTATTGTGTGTTAAAATTGTAAATTTCTTAAATAAATTTTTTTTTGTAAGGATTGAAAAGCGATGGCAATATCATAATCATCATAATAATAATACGACGCCATCTTTAAGATTGCCGGTAGTATTGAAGTGTAATAAAAATTAGAATTATAAATCATTGTGATATTTTACTTTCATTATGAATGACGGAAGATTTGACAGGGTTAAGGACGAGTTCAGATCTAGATCCAGGTATTTATTATGATCAAAATTATGAATAGAAATTTCCACGAAAGGGATTGTTTTGAGTCATTTTCTGAACATCAACAAATAATTGACACATATGTTTCTATTTTGAATGCATTTTTTTCTGTGTACAATATTCTCAATAATTCTAATTTTAAATTGCTCTTAAGATGTGCTCTTTATCGCTTGCCTTGGAAATTTCGTAAATAATTTTATAAAAGAAAAGTTACGCAAAAGTTAATATTCATAGATTTGGCATTTAACTAAATTTTAAAAAGTCTTTAGTTTTTTACGTGTGCTTGTTTGTAACAGATTTAAACATTCTCATGACGCAGAATACGTGAGATACATTTTTGTAATCTCATGAAGTTCTATGAAAAAGAAAAGAACTATATGAAAAAAAGTATGTTCATATTATAAGAAGGTAAAAAGTCTGAATTTCTTTTCTAGTAATTCAAAATAAATTTTATTAGGATAGAAAATTTTTTTTTTTACTCAAATATGTCAAATATCTCTCAGTTCAATTCCATGCAAATTGAAACCAGTATTGAATTTTTGAAGTTTAAGCAATCTCCTTTTATTTGGTAGGTATCATTTAAAAAAAAAATTCTCGTAATATGTAAATTCAGAAGTTATTTTTAGCAGTTATGCATGATTATAAATGCAGGTTAGTTCTACCAAAAAAGTCCTCCACACAGGGAAACTTTACCCAATAATTGATCCAGGAGTTCTCTTGTCTTCTGGATTGATGGTTATTCAGTGTCCGGTTATTTTTCAAGTCTACAGTTTAGTTAAGTAAAATGTATTTTTAAAACAGTCAGAAGGTTATATTTTCTGCAATACATTTTAAAATGGCAAGAGATCTGAAATATCCTCCCTTTCAGGAACTTTAACTTTTCTGGCATGCAACAAAATTTTTATTATTTTATTGCACTCTGGTGTAAAAGTGCGAATTAAAATTGTTTAATTCCAATATTTTCACATTTTTTAAAAATTTGTGTCTTTAAGGGGGTTCAGTACCTAAAAACCTTCAAAAAATCGAATTTGAGATTTTGATCAATGATTAAACTAGAAACTATTAGCTTTCTAACGATATATTGCTTTTGTTTGAAATCCACGTAGAAGTGCACTTAAACTTAATTTAAAAAATGTAAACAAACCGAAAACACCCANTATTATAGATCGAATATAAATAAACACATTTGGTATGAAAAGGTTAAAATATATGTAGATATTAAGGAAATTAAAATTTTTTTTCTCCAGAATTTAACATGATTTAATGAAAATGTACATAATTTAAAATAATGTAAGTGGTGCGGACATGACGTTGCAGACATGACAAAAAGTTTACATCTCTATTTATTAGTTATAATTACTGTTATTTGAAATTTATGCATATTATTTTGCATATATACAGCTTAAATATTTATTAAGTAAAAATTTTACATATTTTATTTAATTTTTATTAACAATTAAATAAATAAATTTATTACAGACAAATTGCAATGCAATTCTACTTTATAATTTATTGATTATATTTTTGACATGCAATGCAACCTTAGAATCATATAAAAAATAGCGTGCAGATGGATCAGGTGCTGGGTCACCTGGTAAAGAAGATAAATATGTATCAATTGAAATGGTTTCAAACATTGGTTCCTCCAAATACTTAAATTTATTAGTTGCTACAGGCTTGAAATGGTGTTTTAGTGTCATAGTGTGTTTATCAATTGAAATAACTTGGCCAGGCCACCAGTTATCGTCAAACAGTACGGCAATCCACTGCCCTTCTTCTAATTCATTTTCTGTTTCTGATGTGGTAGCTAACTGAAGTGATGATGATGGAATCGTTGATTTTGATTCTGGAAATAATGTTGCCTGGTACATAGTTTGTGCACTTGAAAAAGGAGAATTTATAGAATATTCTACTGAGTTGGATGATATAGGGCGAATGAAATGCAAACCTCTTGTATTTGCTATTGATTTGCGTTGACTGAAACGGTCTGTAAGCATCATTGCCTTACGATCAACAAGTTCTTTGCTTATAAAAATTAGTTTGATTTTACCATCCATAATTCTAGAAGCAACCTCGTAAAAGCACTTTGCATCAACAACAACTTCTTTACCTTATAGTACTGCTCGCCAGACCTTATTCTTAACATATCCCCCTACGCCATCTACAGCACCTTCTCCATGTGCCGTTTCAAAAAACGACCAATCTGCTTCTATTTTAACATCTTTGTGACAAACTTAATTGGAAAACATGAATCTGTTTTTGAATTGGCTTGCAGCCCAATCAGACCAATAGTGCACTTTTTTTTTATCATACCACTTTTAATTTCTTTTAAATGGGCCACAATTTCTTCATTGAAAATTTTTACAGAATTTTTGTTAGGTGATAAATCATCAGACACTATAGCATAAGACTGATGAGCCAAAGAATTTGTTTCATCTTTGCAATATGTAACACAAGTGTACAGGGTAACACTATCAGTTGCCCAATGAGCACTCATGATCTCACGATCATGCTTTATGGAATAATTTTCGGCAAAATCTACATGAATGATAACTTCATCATTAGAAAGATTTTCTTTTAAATACCTAAATTCAAAATGTTGCTTGGAAGTATGTTGAGAAAATAGGTGCAATTGCGAACCAATTTCTTCTTTAGCAGATCCTAAATCCGTAACTATTTCCCTTTTGACAGTGAATCCCACATTATTCTGTTGCCACTGATAGTACTTCACTGTGCAATCCAGATTTTCAAATGGTACTTTATCATCCAAGTATTTTTCAACACCACATATTGAACACAGTCTATCAATATAGCTAATTTGTTTTTCATCAAAACCACAAACAGTTTCTTTTGCGATTGCTTCTGAATTACTTGGAAGATCTGAACAGAGAGCTCCTATTCCCGAAAGAGTCATGTCAACATTTTCGTGGTATACACACATGCATACTTCTTGATCCTTTTTTCCAGACGGTAACACAAATTTTGGTTGCATTTCATGAAATTTTGATTTCCCAATACTAAAATCGGGATTTTCACTCAAGAAAAGCTGGTGTGCTTCTCCGATACTCATTATAAGAAAACGTTTTTGGTGTATTTCTCGCCCTACATCTGTTTTTAAGGATATTACGTCCTTCTTTCTAGGACACATTCGGCTTATATCATCTCTTATGAAAAATTCATTTACTTTTTTCTCTGTTTCTTCAGAAAGTTTGTTACATCTTTTTTTTGGATCAATTTCAGATAGCTGCAGCCTTTTAATTTTGATTGAATTTTTAACTATTTGTTTTCTTTTCAAAGAGGATATTTTTGCTATAACATCTGTCAATTCATGAATTTTCTTATTTGGTGATCTTGGTAGTGAATTAGTGATTTTTTTAACAGCTTTACACAATGATTGTCTGCTTGTGAATTGTAGCTTGGTGAATTTGTTATTGTTTCTGCATCTTTCTTTTTTCTCCGCATCTTTTTTGTGCTTCCTTATTTTTTGCCCTTATGTTGATCTTCTGCTCTTCAGTAAGTATTTTGGAATGTCTGTATTCTTGACTGATATAAATTAAGCATAGTAAATAAACAGAGGAAAATAAAATTTTAGGATTATAAACTTGTAAATAAAATCTGTATAAGAATAATTTGAAATTTTTTTAATAAAAAAACTGCATTTTAAGCCTGTAAACTATCAAAGGCAAAAATGAAGTTTTTTTAGCTCCTAAATTGTTTGAATCTAATATGGGTTTAAAAACTTCATGTTAAATTAAACATTTTGAATGGTTTAGTAACCTAAAAAACTAACTTTTTGTTTGTCATGTCCACAACTTTCAAACTCATTTTTTAACATATTTCTTGAATTCTTTAAAAAAATATCAAATTTTAGTTAATTTTAGTTTATTTATCTTTAATTTGATATACAACACATTGTATCAAATAAATTTTTTTTTTTGACACATCAGGCTACAAATACTAGTGGAATCGCCCAGAACTTAAATATCCTCCCTTTCAAGAACTTGAAACTTTTTCTGGCATACAACAAAATTTTTATTATTTTATTGCATTTTGGTGTAAAGTTCTAATCAAAATTATTTAATTCCATTATTTTCAAGCTTTTTTTAAAATTGTGTGTCTTCAGGTCTGTTTATTTCATGTGATTAATTTTCTAAACATCTTTAAGCACTATTCCTTTTGGTCCTTTGGTTTTGGTCCTTTATTTAAATTGTTGATCAAATCTTAAAATTTTTTTTTTTTACCAGTCTTTTATAAATTGAATTTTGTAATAAATTGAGAAACTCTAAATATTTAATTTTAGGTCAAGATCTCCTTTCCGCAAGAACTTCAATGAACGTTCTACTTACGAAGATGATTTTAAAAAAAGACGTAGAGATCATTCTCCAAGACGATCTAGTAGTAGCTCTGCTAAAAATAGAGTATTTGTGAATAACATCCCATTCGAATGTCGCTGGATGGAAATAAAAGATTTATTCAGGGAAAAAGGTTTGTTTTGCACTTAAATATTTTTATTTTGATTATAATATAGTTGGAAGTTTTGTTTTAATAATTATTGAGAAGCTAGTCATTATTTTGAAAACATATTTCATGGCTGCCAACTCTACTGGATTTTGTCAGTTTCTCCTGATCTACTGTTTTAATAAAAATTCTCCTTGTTTTTGTACATTTTAGAAAATCCCCTAAAATTGAGTAAGATTTTTTAAAAAAAAAATCCTTGTTGAAATAAAATTTCTGCACAGAGTTTTGCTTGTTGGAATATTCATATAAGTGCGCACCTACTTTGGGCTAAGGCTGTAAAAATTCAATAGTTAATTAAACAATTTAACATTTTAATAGAAAACAAGTTATAACAATTATCGTAGATTGTTTTTTTTCTTAGGTGACTGGTGCATGCTAAATCTGTCAGAGTTGCAAGAAAAGACCTCCCAATTCCCATAACAAATCAATACCTTTGGGTGTACCAGGGGTGATTGTATTTTGGTTGTACCCCAGAATTCTGGGTTTTACGTATCATCCCTCCATGTCTAGAAACTAGGAGCAAGGCATGTGATTTTTTTAAGCCGAATTCTGCGTATTATGAGACCTTTGGTTCGTGGACTTCTGCGAATCAAAACTCATAATCCAACAAAATTTTCACTATTATCTAAAATTTAAAGTAAGAATCAAGTTCCACAATCTGAATTTTAAATTTTGAGACCTTCGCTAAATCCTGTTAACAAGATGTTTTTATACAAGTCATTCTTCCTCCATTTTGATTTTTCATTATTTTGTCGGATTTTATTTTATGGCTGGAACTGTGCAGGAATGCACTGATATTGCGTATCGTATTCACTCAATTTTAATATCAAATGTATTCATATTTACTTGATTTAAAAGATATTGTGATTCGTATTCTCGTGATTTTAAAATCCAATATCGCAATTTTTATTTACACGCTTCTGAAATTAATATCATAATTAGTTTTCACAAGAGTTTAAAATTTAATGTCACTATTCGTATTCACGGGATCTTAAAATCATGCATCGTGATTCATATTTATGCTATTCAAAATTCCAATATTGTGATTTATATCATTGCATACTTAAATCCAATACCCCTAGTGCAACATAAATAAGAAAAAGTAAAGATGTAGTTAGTTTTAAAACTCCAACATCAAATGTTAAGCTGTCTACTTGCATCATCAATGAAAGAAGACGTAAATAGTGTTTAAGTCAATATTAAGTTAGTGAAAATTACTCTAAATAATGCTGCTGTTCGAATATTTTAGACTTCACTAAATAGTCTAAAATTAGGCTGGTGTGATTATTTTACAAGAAAATGATTCTTTGTACATAGGCCGAATTATATGAAAGTCCTCGTGTATCATAATTCACATATATGTAGTCTGTTTATGGTAATTTCAGAACAATGTTTTCTTATTTTAGTTGGAGATGTTGCCTTTGTTGAATTATTCGAGGATGACAGTGGAAAATTTAAAGGCTGTGGGTAAGTTACTACTTTCATATCAATAGATATGTCATAACAGGATTTTTCACATGATACCACTTACTATTCAGTATCATATCAAAGCTAAATTGATCAATATTTTTTACCAAGTTTCCTTATCACTTCACACTCCCATGTCACCTGTCCTGGGTTTGATCCTCAGGGCGGGCAAGGTTGACTCTGCCTTTCATCTCTACAATGGGTCGATAAAATGAGTACCAAGCATGCCACTGGACTAAACACTGGGGGTTCCGCATTTGACTGATCACCAGACCGAAACATCTGCTCCTGAGCCCCAGAGTCCAAGGTCAAGAAAACTAAGATGAGCCTTGGCCCGCTCTAGGTTGTCGTGCCACTGAGTTTAGTTCTTTATAGCAGTTTCGTAAATTTTGATCACGGGTTAGTGTATTATTTTAAGTAATAAATATAATGATTCTTAAAAATATTTTTTTATACATACATTTTTATACAAACATTTATATGCATAATTTTTTTGAAATATAAAATAATAACCATTTTTAGGTCAGTAACTCAACAAAAATTTCCTTATCATAATAAATAAATCAGTGAATAACTGATGCTGAGAGTGGAATGACTGAAACTTATGATGTTGTTAAAATATTTTGTAAATATATGTACATTATTGCCTGAAATATCTTAAAATCAAATGTGAATGCATAAAACTGTTATTAATATATTATTCTCTAAATAAAATTTTTCTAAATTTGTTCTGACATGGGATTGTTCCATTTTCACAAAAGTAAAAAACAAGCCCAAATTTTACAAATTGGCAAAAAGGGGATTATAATTGAAAGACCCAAATTTAACAGTAATTAGAAAATAATATTAGTAAATTATATTAGTAAATTTTTTAAAATTTTGTAAAAATTGAATTTTTTATAAAAAAAATTAAGATTGACCATAATTGATTTATTTTATAGCTATTTTAATAGTATAATCAAACTATTATTATTAGTATTTTGAAAGGTACTAGTTTTATTTATTTAAAAAATTTTTACGCTTAGCTAAAATGTTAGATTAGAAGCTCTTTGTTAAAATTCTGTTTTTCATTTTGCAATGTAACTAAATGTAAGATCATGTTTCAAAAGTTCAGTCCGTATTATTCAAAGAAAAATAATCTTTTCAATCTTACTTTCTTGTTTTTTTTTTTTAATGTAAATTTTCTTTAAAGCAGAAGAATCTAGGATCAAAATTTTGTCTTTTGTTATTTCTAACTTCTAAAATCTCAAGATTCTGATTGTTGTTTGATGCAAATGTTTCTTTTTATTAAAATATATTTATTTGTATTTTTAGAGTTGTAGAATTCAAAGATGCTGAAACAGCTTCCAAAGCAATTGAAGTGATGCATAAATATGAAGTGCGAGGAAGACCGTTGAACGTAAAACTTGTAAGTTTAAAAATTTTAGAAATTTTTATCAACTGTTAGTCTTAAAAGTTATTTCTTATATAAATATCAAAATAACTAATTGTTAAAAATATTTATAACTTTGACTAATCTATTAGATCTTTCCTCATATTACATTTTTTCTAACTAATCTCAAAGTAAAAAGGTTTGTGGCATTTTTTTCTTCCTGGTAGAGTAACATATCTCGTTTATAATTAATTTTGTTTTCAACATGTGGAAGGGAGGTTACTACTAAACTTGTTACTTGTTCTTTCCTTTAATGACATGCAAAATGTTCAGTGTCTTGTAAATTTGTCTATGATGCAACTACAGTTTTGTATAAAAATCTAAGATGTTTTGATATCATTGCTTGCTTTTTTTTCCCTTCAAACTTGCTGCTTACTTATTCTGTCATCATGATGTAATTTTCTGTGAAATTGATTGCCATGACACTGTTTTGTTTAATTCATAATCATATGTACATAAATTCTTACGATCATTTTGTTAAAATGGTTGTTACTAAATCATCTTGCCGTCTCTTACCAAGCACTAAACTCTGCATGTGCCAAACACTAGTAACAAGAACATAATTTATGATACAACACAATTTTAAACAAAATTATCTCTTAGTAGATATATTTTTTTTGAAAATGCCATTTACTCATATTTTGTAATAATCTTATACATTACATTTTCTGCATTCACAAATAAATATTGCTTTATGATTTACGATAAAATAATCTCCCAATTTAAAAATGTGTTTTTTTTTTTCAAAGTAAAGTATAATTACTTAAATATGTCATAAAAAGCGGGAAAAAATGTCTATGGTTTATAATTTATTTACAAAAATATGTACTATTTTACAAGTATCTTAGTTCTGAATGAGAAGAATTGATAGCAGAAGTAAAGATAACAGCTTTGCTTTTTATTGCCAACATTGCCTTTTTCTGCTGGTTTCTCACTGAATCAATTCTTTCTCCTTCATTGCTATTCAGATTAATGCTGTTTGTCATAATCTTGGCTCCAATCAGCCAAATGGATATCAAATATCAGATTACTTTATTTCTGATATTAGTTCTTGTTGAATGGTGTATTTGCACTATATTCAGTATTTACAACTGTAAATTAAGTTCGTCCCTCCCCCCTTTGTGCTATTTGAATCAGAAGACCTGTGCACAGTTTGATTACAGTTCTCAAAACTTCTTCAGATCAGCAGTTTAGTAGTTCAAGTGTGTTAGCTATCTGTAGTTCAGCTTTAGAACCTTTTCTTTAACATTTTAAAATATAAATTTTGGAGAATTTTTTGACAGGGAAGGCAAACCAGAAAGAGCTTTTTTTTATCTATATATATATATAACGTTTTTAAAAAATGTTTAATTAGTCACTTTGCAAATTTGGTAGAATTTGCAAATTTTCGGGATGTTACTTGTGCAAGTTATGTATCAAAATGCAAATAATGCTTTCTTTGCTTGCTTCTATGAGCAGCTAAAATGATCACCCACCTCGTTAATGAACCTTGCAAAGGTTGGATCCACTGTTTGAAGTGAAAGAAGATTACCCACAGGGATGATTGTGCTCCGGAAAAAATCCGGACTTCCGGATTTTTCGCTAACCGCGATCCGAAAGTTTCCGGAAATCCAAAGTCCAGAAGTTTCAAGAAATCATAGATCACATTTATATAAAAATTCTTGTATGTTTAATTTAAAAATATTGGAACTAGAATTTATATTTGACATCTCTTTCATTTGTAAATATTTTTTCCTGATAGAATAATAGATGTGATTAGAGATAAAAGTAAACTTACACATAATTATTCATTTAAATTATGCTGCATATAATTCATTTAGAATATCATGTTTTGAATATATCAATGATTTAAATTTATAAAGATATTAATTTTTTGAATGATTTTTCTCAAGAAATTTTCAGGACTTTTGAGTTTTGACATCCACCAACCCCAAAATAAAGTATTTTCCACCTCTGCCATCCGCTTGCACGGAGTCTACACTATTTGTTAAAAAAAAAAAAAAACCTTTACAGGTAGTTTCTATAAAAATTTTTTTTAAATTCATCTGAAATTAAGCTTGTCCCGCTTGATTTACGGATAAATTTATTTGATTCACTTTCTACATTTTATATTTAGTTTTATAGCATTGGTTATTTAGTTAATAAAAAGAATTGTTTGAACTTATTTTAAAACTTTTGTTCAGTTCAGTATACGAATTCGATTCGCTGAAAGCATTTTTAGTTAGTAAAAGGGGAATTTTAGTATAATGAATTTAAAAAATGGGTAATAATAATATTAAAATTGAATAGGGTAAAATAAGATACAATATATGTTCAAAGGATAGATATGTATATGATAATATAAGAGCCATTGTAATATGTAAATTATTTTCTGCAGACAAGTGACACAATTCGACACAATTGAATAAAAAATACTGGTTAGGGAAAAGATGCCTATTTGTCAGCATATTTTGAGATATTAATGCACAATTATACAAAAAAAAAAAAAAAAAAAAAAAAAAATACTGCTTAAAAATACTGAAAAATGAAATATATGATTAATTGTATGTTTTGTTTGACTTAAACAAATATTCTAAGACTTGAGCTTCAATTTAGTTCAAGTTCTACTTTTTTTTCTTAAAAAAAAAAGTTTGATTTTGTATTTAAAATGAAATGTGTTAATTTCTAGGATAGTGGAGAGAGTGAGAGAAAGCGATCTTCAGGCCGTACTTCCGATAGAGAATTCATGCGAGGTAGTGATAATTTTGGTGGCAATGATTTTAGAGAACCACAATTCAACACATATGGTCTGAATCCAGAGTTTCTAAAATCACTTGGGATAAATGGACCTTTAAATAACAAAGTTTTCATATCAAATGTGAGTTATAATTTTTTCTATTTCTTATTCAATTTAAGTATTTTACCCTGCCAAATAAACCAATGGGCAAGATGGTAGGCTCACAAGTAGAGCTAGCAGAGTGGATGAAAAGTTTTAGATTTTGTTTTAGAATTATTTGTTAGAACTATTATTTTTTAAAATTTATTAATAATTTGTAACTAGAATCATTTGAGCTAAATTTTGCTTTTATTCAGTTTAATGGCATTTTATAAATATATAACATGGTTATGTTATTTTTTAAAGAATAAAGTTGAATGTTCAAAATAGTTCAAGGAATAGAATGTTCAAATAATTTCAAAATGGAAATTTCGTATTTTTTTCTGAAAGTAATTCAAAGTCTTTAAATAATTAAGAAAAAAAAATTAATATGAATTTTAAGAGTTTAATTTTTTTTAAAAGATGACTTTAGTATGCTACATGTTTTAGGAAATTCTATTACAATTACACAAAGTTTAGCTCTCTATGTCGAATCGATCTCGAGCTAAA